GCTTCCTCCCCTCCCCCACCATCATAATCCCAAATCTGGCTAGACCAAAGGATGTACACTGGTACAGATAGAAAATGGAAACACAGGGAATCCAGGACAGATGAATTCCTCAGGACCAGTGGTGAGAGTGGTGGTACCGGGAGGGTGGAGGGAAGGAGGGGTAGAAAGGGAGAACCGATTACAAGGATCTATATATAACCCCCTCCCTGGGGGACAGACAACAGAAAAGTGTGTGAAGGGAGACATCATACAGTGTAAGACATGACAAAATAATAATAATTTATAAATTATCAAGGGTGAGAGATGGAGGGGAAAGATGAGGAGCTGATACTAAGGGCTCAAGTAGAAAGAAAATGCTTTGGGAATGATGATGGCAATAAATGTACAAATGTGCTTGAGACTATGGATGTATGTATGGATTGTGATAAGAGTTGTAAGAGCCCCCAATAAAATGATTTTTTAAAAAGTCTCTGCTGGAAAATATGCTGGCCTTCCCAGAAGGGTAGAGCTTCGGGCTCCAGGTCCCCTGGAATCCTGAGATTGTTACGCCAATTTGCAGATCTGGAACTTCAGACATTGAGAGGTCTGTAATTATTCCAAGGCCACACACCTAAAGGGATCCTAATTATTGTTTTGCATCTAACTCAGAATGTAGCTGGATTCCAGGGTTTGCTTTTGAGGCCAGAACAGACAATTGTCCTATCCAGAAGCTTCAAGAATGGTTTTCACTGGGTGTGATGCTGCTGAGAACAGCTTCTTAAGTGTTTGCATGTACCAATTCCATATTCCAGTTACCTTCCCATAAAACTACTAATTTAGACTAGAAACTTAAATTTACTGAATCCACACTGGAGGTCCTTCCTTCACTCGAGGTGTTAGATAAATAAAAGTAGAGGTTGTTAGAGTAAGGCAGTTGTATTAATGTTACACAATGATAGATGCTTCAAATGAAAAGCCCCTTCCCCCATCGGAGACTTAACAGAATAGTGTTTATTTCTTGCTTACTTTATCTGTCTAAAGCATATTACTGGGGGCAATATCTGTCATTCAGGAAACCAAGTTGACCAAGACTCTCTTGTCTGGTAAAAGTATCATGTGATTCATACGATATCTATGATTGTTGCAGGAAGCGAAGAAAGATGAAGGAGGTATCATGGTAGCTCTTAACTGTCTCAACCAAGGAATGACACATTACTTCTGTTCAGAGTGTATTAACTAGAACTTGTCACATGGCCCTGCTCACTACAAGGAAAGCTGGAGCTGAAAATAGGGTATGCTCACTACTCAGACACAGACATGATGACTCTCTGTCTCTAGGAACTTGAAAAATGATTCAGGGAAAGAAGAGAGGCCCACTAGGAAAGAGAAAGTGCTCTATGAGAATCTGAATAACACCGATGGTCAGATCTAGAGATGAAGGAGAGATCAATGAGGAAAATAAATGTAGCCAGGGAATTCTTCCTGTGGAAGTTTGACCAAGAAAGAAGTTTACATTCATATTTAAGGTAAGAATGGAATGTGATTGACTTGTTTCAGAAAGAGAATGATAGAGGCCAAGGAGAGAGCAAGTTTTGTCAGGTCTATGGATCTGGAATACTCATTGAAATATTTCAGAAAACTGAAGAAGCACTTGGAGCACTCATTCATCTGTTTGGAAGACAGCCACCTGGTCAACTGACTGGACAAGATCCATATTTGTGGCTATTTCAAAGAAAGGTGACCCAACAGAATTCCCAAACTATAGAACAAAATAATTGATATTGCATACAAGTAAGATTTTATTTGAGATCATCCAATAACAGTTACAGCAGCACATTGACAGGGAACTGCCAGAAGTTCAGGTCAGATTCATAAGAGAATGGAACAAGGGATATCATTGCTGATATCAGATAGATCTTGGCTCAAAGCAGAGAATACCAAAAGATGTTTACTAGTTTACTTTCATTGACTATGCAAAGGCTTTCTATTCTGTGGACCAAAATAAACTGGATAATCTTGAGAAGAACATGAATTTGGGAATACTTCATTGTGCTCACTAAGAACTTAAACTTGAATCAAGAGGCAGTTGTGCAAACAGAACAAGGGAGTACTACATGTTTTAAAATCAGGAAATGTGTGCATCAGGATTGCTCAATCACCATAGTTGTTCAATCTGAATGCTGAAAAAAATCATCAGAGAAACTGAATTATGTGAAGAAGAGTGGGGTATCAGCATTGGAGGAGGGTTTATTAACAACCCACAGGTTGCAGATAACACAACCTTGCTTGCTGAAAGTGAGGAGGAATTGAAGCCCTTGCTGATGAAGATCAAGGATTTCAGCCTTCAGCATGGACTACAGTAAGGAAGACCCAAATCCTTACAAGTGAATCATGATAAATGTACAAAAGCTTGACGTTGTCAAGAATTTTATCTTGCTTGGATCTATAATCAATAATCATGAAAGCCATAATCAAGAGATCAAAAGATGTATTGCGTTTGGTCAATTTGTTGCAGAAGAACTCTTTAGAATATTGAAGAGCAAGGATGTGTCTTTGAGACCTAAGTTGAGCCTGACCCGACCAATGGTCTTCTGTATTGTATCATATGCATGTGAAAGTTTGACATTGAATAAAGAAAACTGAAGAATCATAGATGCATTTGAATTTTTGTGCTTGAGAAGAATATTGAAAGTACCATGGATTGCTAATAGGACAAACAGGTCTTTCTTGGAAGAAATACAGCCAGAGTGCTACTTAGAAGGAATGATGGCAAGACTATGTCTTACATACTTTGGATATATTATCAAGAGAGAGTAGTCCCTTGGGAAGGACATCATGTTTGGTAAAGTGGAGGGACATTGGAAAAGAGGAAGGCCCTCAATGAGGTGGATTGACAGAGTGGCTACATCAATTGGCTCACACATAGGAACAAAAGTGAGGCTGGTACAGGACCATGCAGTGTTTCATTCTGTTGTGCATTGAAATGCTCTGGGTTGGAGCCAACTCAATGGCACCTTGTGTAAACGACATGGATCCAAAAAATAAAGACCTTTGGAATACAGGCTGCAAAGGCTGAGTTGGGCTATAAATAATTAGAATGAAATAGGTATTTAAGAAAAGTGCAGCTTGGGTAACCCCTTCCCCCCCAGAATGGACTATAAAAGAAATGGAAGCAGAAGTTTAGACTTGAAAGAAAACAGCAAGTAAGAAAATGCCTGAAGATCTAGAACATAGATGCCAAGACCCACTGTATAGGGTCCTCTTCTACTTAAAGGCAGGGCTTCCATTATGGAACGGATGACTCTCCTGCGCTATGTCCAGATGAAAGTGGGCAAGGGGTTAGGGGACATGAAATTATGACTTATAATAGACTGGAGCATGTGCGTGGAGTACACATGGTATAGGCCTCAATAGTCTGACTGTCTGCGTAACATCAATTTCTTGACTTTGTGGGATAGAATCCAAGCTGAGAAATAAATTTGTTGGATTTACATGGAGGTAATATTTTCTAACAGGAAGACTTACTTATCAATGAATGGCAATCTTAGGAAGAGTTTATGTGATTCCCATCACAGAAAAACCTAAACACTCAAAAGTTTTGTAGCTAGTAGGAAGATAAATCAGATCAAATCTAAATCCATAGTAATTCTGACAAACGCAGGTGCTTGTTTCCAGTGTTAGATACTAGAAAAGTTTTCACTGTAGGATGACTAGCCCGTCTTGGTTTACTCATCACAGAAAGTCTCAAGTCCTGGAAAACTCAGTACCAGGAACCCCCGTATATACTCGAGTATAAGCTGACCCAAATATCAGCCGAGGCACCTAATTTTACCATAAAAACTGCATTAAAAATGTGCTGGAAAACTCGGCTTATACACGATTATATATGGTAACTAGTCACCCTACTTTGCAGTACTCAGAATTCACATATAACCTTTCTCTAAAGACCAAAACAAAAGAAAAACCAAACACATTGCCATTGTAACCCGCTACACTACCAATGCTCATTTATCACCGTTCCTGCCATTAAGTAGATTCTGATTCATAATGGTGCTATAAGGACAGAGTAGTACTGCTGGCATGGGTTCCTGAGACTGTAACTCTGTTTTTGTCCCCTCTATTTTCCCCCAAAGGGGGTGCACCATTCCTGGAAGTACTTCAATATTAGGTCGATGCATGAAGTGGATGGAGCAAGCTCCTATTCCATCTCCTTGCTCCAAAAATTCAATATACTGTCCTCGGATAGAGGATGTATCAGATATTAAACTAATGAGAACAGATACTACACTTGAGCTTAGCCAAAAGGCCAAGAAGCGACTGACTGTAACTCTTTATGGGAGTAGAAAGCCTCATATTTTCCACTCCACAGGAAAAATATACATACACCAATCTCCACAAACCTGAGACCAGAAGATTAGATGTTGCCCAGCTTGGTCTTGGACAGAATGAGAAAATATGGAACAACATTCAAAATCATAAAAGAAGCCAGGCTTACTAGTAGAATAAAAATCAGTATTAGGCCAGAACATACACATTGCTACAGGTAAGTGCCCGCAGCACAGGGAATCCAGGCTAGATAAACCCCTCAGGGTCAAAAAGAAGAGAAGTGAGACCAGGAGGATTAGGGGAGAAGTGGGGAGAAAGGGGGACTCGATCACAAGGATCAATCTAGAACCTTCTCCCAGAGGACAAATAACTAAAAAGTAGGGGGGTGGCATGGAGGATGATGTAAGATATGGAAAAGATAATCTGCAACTTATCAAGGGTTCGTGAGGGAGGGAGGGAGGGCCGGGAAACTGGAAGAAACAAGAAACCGATAGCAGGGGCTCCAGTGGGAAGAGAATACTTTGAAAATGATGATGGCGGCATATATGCAAGTGTGCTTAACACACTGGATGAATGTATGGATTATGATAAGAGATGTAAGAGCCCCCAATAAAAAGTAGTATTTTTTAAGCTTTTTTTTTTTTTTTTTAAAGATGGGACCTCTCACCTCCACCCCTTAGTTGCCCTTAAGGTCTGTAAAGGAACCTACCCTATGGTAGAATAGCAACAACTTAAGATAAAAAGTGCAGCATTTACCAAAGTCCACAGTTAATCAATGAAGAGAAATTGAAAGAGGAAACACAGGGAGACAGTGGAATAAGTAATGGTGATAGAGGAGGTGACAGTGTTAATCAAAACTAGAAATGAAACATGGTTTAAGATTTAGTCTGCTGAAATTTACCAAGCCCAACCCAAACTCATGGCCATCAAGTTGATGGCGACTCTTAGTGTCTCTAAAGGACAAGGTAGAACTGCCCCTGTGAATTTCAGACACAGGAACGCTTTATGGGGGTAGAAAGTCCCATCTTTCCTTTGTCATAAAACACAAACACAGCCCTTGCAGTAAAAATTCCTTTTCAACTTACTCAGTATAGATGTTCTGACTCAGGAAGGAGGCAAGCAAGGCCATTTTGATAGATAATCATAAGCAATGGAGCCTGAAACCTCAGCCAGTCTGACAGCCCTTGCAGTAATGAAGGTATCAACTGATAATCTATCAAATGAGAATGCCCTCAGGAAAAGTATTGTTTTCCTGTGAAATGGGCTTCCTTTGTCAATTGTTATGGGGTCCTTGATTATTTTCAAAACCTGTCACATATTTTAAGGTATGTATCTTCCGTGATTTTCACTGCATCTTTGAAGTAGTTTGGAGATAGAAAGCCTCAGTGCTTTCTTTTGTCTCATGTTTCAAAATAAACTTAGTTTCTTGAATCAATCTGATCTCTGTCTTTGGCTAAAACAGTAACAGGTATTCCTGAACCTTGAAACTAAATGTGCAAAAATTGTGGAGTCTAAGACTGATATAAACCTTCACCTTTGGACATGTTGTCAGGAGAGACCAGTCCCTGGCACAGGATAGCATGCCTGGGTAAGTAGAGGGGCAGTGAAAAAGAAGAAAACCTTCAACAAGATGGAATGACAGTTGGAAACAATGGGCTCAAGCATAGGAACAATTGTGGGATAGTACAAAATCGGGCAGCATTTCATTCTGTTGTGCATAAGGTTGTTATGGGATAGAACTGACTTGATTGCACCTAACAACAACAATCCGCTAAAATAAATAAAGTTGGGGTTGATTTTCTTAATGAGAGTCGATTCAAGGTTATCCATACAAACATCATTCTGATCTAGCTGTATTCTGTAACTCTCTATGAGGGAAGCATCACTCACTAAGCATTCTTTT